TGTGTGTTATAGTTCCTCGAGCGTCTAGTAGGTACCTTTTTTTTTTTTCCGTGCGGAAATCCCCTCGGATACCACCTGTCGGTGGCATGTCGGACTCGAACCGACTAAAACCGCACGCCGTCTCGGGTACTAATAGCCGGGGAACCAGGTATACCCTAGAAAGGAAGTCCCTGGTACTGTCTAGTAGGTACCTGCATGTTTGGTAGGTACTCATTAGTGCCGAGTTTCACGAGTTAGCTTAGCCAATCATTTACCGACTAGTCCTTAGTTTTACTCTTCACTGAAAGTCATAGTTACACAATATAATTTATTTTTAATTATTAAAACTGATTCAATAATTGATTATTTCATTTCATTTATCATTACACTAGTACCAAAGCTACATACACAACTTACTACATATTTACGAAAATAATTTACTGCAGCGCCATCTAGGAGAAAAAACGCAAAACCAAGTAAGTTTTGATACACTGCATCGCACAATAAACTGCAACAACTGCATTGATTTACATGTATTTGCAATTTTGTAAATTGTATTTTCATATCTAATTAGGGTTAGTCGGAAGATCTTTCTGTTGAAAGGACAGAACTTTTCATCCAGGAAACACGGAGCTGCTTGGAACGAGGTTCAAAACAAATGTGGTTTAATAAATTATTATAATATTAATAATAAGTTATAGGTTTTATAATCAAGATTAACGGCAGAACACAAAACATATATGTCAATTCCTAGTAAGGCACAGTGATTTATTCGCTTGCTCCATGAAACACCTTACTTCGATTGAAGAACAATAAAACTGTTGAGATTTATAGTTCCTATAAAACTTTACTTTGTAATATTTATTTTGTGATATAAAACTTTTATTGTTCGCTTAAAAAGATAAGGTTTAAATCAAAGTATAATTGTATTTCGATGGTTATTGAGTCAGGATAAAGGAAATGGCCACGCCAGAATTAGCGGGTTCTATTCTGTAGGCAAAATTTATATTCATTCATCAACATCAACAGCCTTTAATAGTCCACTGCTGGACATAACCCTTTCCTTAGAAAGGAGGTTTTGGCCTACTATACCACGCTGGCCAGACGGGTTGGTATAGAGTTTGGGTCAAGTTTTCCTTCTTTTTGCAGTGCTGGTGTCCTGCGTTGTTTTGCGCCCTTAGTCGTCTCTTACGACACCCACGGGATGAATTGGGTTATTGACATTCCGTATTCTTAATCCGTCACTACTCGGACATTATTAATTAATGCGTGTAAAAGTTATAAAAATCATATTCCGTGTGGTGACTGACAAAGAATACAGAGTGTCATCACCCCTATTCATCCTGAGGGTGTCGTAAGAGCCGACTAAGGAAGCAAACTACGCAGGACAATAGCACTGCAAAGCGAAGAAAAACTTGAAACAATAACAAGCCTATAACAAGCCGTCTGGCCAGCGTGGTATAGTAGGCACAAAACTGCTTTCTAAGGAGAGGCCTATGTCCAGCAGTGTACTATTAAAAGCTGATGATGATGTGTAAAATGTGAATTTTCCCTTTTATCCTGTTTACCTCTACTAGATTGAGCTAGTTAGCGTAGTAAGGTACAATTTTACCCTTTAATGACGCTTTTCCCTACCCTCTGTAAGTTCACCTAAGTGGTGTATACAAAATATTTGCACAACAACAATCTCTACCAAACACATAATTCATTTCAAACAGACCAAATCTCACAACCAAGCGACAAATACAGAACTCCATACAAACGTAGAGTTGTAACATATTTGTATTTGTTTATTTGTAGTTTGTTTGTACATAGCCTGGGGCAACTGTTACGTTTTCCGTTTCATGAAAAGTAAAAAAATCTCTTTTACACCATATTTACTTGGTACTTTTTAATAGAGATGCTGTACTGTTTTAAAAACCTTTTTTCGAATGACTGAATTATACTTTCTAACAAAGTAATCATATAAACATACATAGACAGAGATAATTTAAAGATCTTTTTTTATGAAAGAGGGAGCAAACGAGCAGACGGTTCACCTGATGGAAAGCGACTACCTCCGCCCATGAACGCCTGCAACTGTGACGAGTCTGTTGGTCTAGTGGTTAGTGCCCCTGACTGCTAAACCGGAGGTCGTGGGTTCGATTCTAACCCAGGACAAATATTGTATGATGACCACTGTCATTTGTTCTGTATCTGTATGTATTTAAAAAAATATATAACTATGTTTAACATCAGTCTGGTCATCAGACGGCCGTGTGTGAGATGTGTGATATAAAAAAAAAACTCAGAAGTCACAAGCGCGTTGCCGGCCTCATTAATGTATACATATGAATAAATAAACATAATTTAGAATCTTATCTCCTAAGTATATCAATAAATTTATTTCTGTTTTACTTAGCAGTAGTAGTTAAAAAAGATTTTTGAAATTGAAAAAAAAAATATTTTCATTCTTTTTACGAACTTTAATTCCCGTGATTCATCATCCTCCGAATCTTTTCCCAAACGAGGTTTGGGTCGGCTTTCATTCTTCTACGATACGGCAGTACTTTTTTACGCGGAGTAATTGCCACTAGACCTCCACAACCCAACTCCAAACTCGGCGATATAAAAATTCTTAAGATAGACTGTTGTAGGACTTTTAAGCTCCGACTACCAGTAACGATTGCCACAGATGTTAAAATGGCATCCGGGACCGACTGCTTCACGTGCTTCCGAAGCACGGAGGGGTCTCAATGTGTTAAGAATGGTCACCCATCCATAGACTTACCAGGCTAAGATTTCATAACTTTACAACGCGCTACTCGTTCACCACTTAGCATCAAGCCCCTCCAATGTAATTCCTGCAAATTTAGAAACCACGACCTAATTTTCAGCTGTTGTCGAACTATAGTACACATGTACGGTAAATATTACAAGTATATATAGTTTAAACTAAAATGTTTAGGTAATAATTTGATTTCATAACAAAATTAATCTTGTATTTTCCTTAATCGAATACTGTGTAGTTCGTCCTTGAATTCGAGGATAAAACTGAACCGAGGGCTGAGTGCCTCGCTCTCGACGGCGAGCGATTTGCGAGCGTTGCGATTGGTGCATATTTCAGTGCGGGCCAATCACAGCGCCGAACGCAGTCAACGTGACGATCGAGTAGAAGTGAAATAAAGTCGCACTTGGCCCTCTGTAGTCTTCGTTATATTACTGCCATATGAGTGACTAATGTCTGCTACACCAGTCATAATTTATTTACCACTAATGTAGCAATAGAGCACATGGTAGATGTGAAAAGACTTCACTTGTAACCTTGAAAATACCTTACATTTATTATATAATCAATATTATAATTAAAGTTAACCCCATTTTTTTTAAGGTTATGCATACAAAAACTATGCTGCTTGTACAGTTCAATTTCGCATTCAGTGTTTTATTGCATACTTAGAATTATTTTTACATATCTCATATTAAATAATTATAAAATTTTCATGTAGTAACCTTAAAAAAAGCGCTGAAAGCAAGTAGGGTCATGCTATCAGCGCCTCTGGCGGGAACAAATACAAACTTACTCAAGTTTGTATTCGTTCAGACTTGTTATCTATACAAATAAATAAAATTGAAATGTCTGTTTGTAATGTCAAAATAACAGGTTTTGTTTTCATGTTCACATGGTTATTTGCATCATACCTTTGCCCAAAAACCAGGTTAAATATTTTTGTCTGTCTGTCTGTCTTCAAAACGGTTTGAACGCTTTTGATAATATTTTACTACCAGGTAGCTGTCTATATAAGGAGTAACTTTCACTATTTTTCCTCTTAGAAAAACACTATAAAATTTTGCCCTGTCCAGGAATCGAACCCTAGGCGTCATGGACTGCAGTCGAGTACTACTACCGTACTACACCACTAAGGCATCAGTTTTGAAATTCCACGCGAACAAAGTCACAGATAGTGATAGCTAGTAAACTATAAATATAAAAATAAATATATATACGTAAACATAAGCTCATTAGATCCATATGTTATAAAATGAACCTTATTAAAAGTGTTCTGTTAAAACTGTAACACTTAAACTACAGTAAAAACTTTTTAGGTGCTCCTACTCGACCACAGATGGCGCTACACATTCGAATACACTGTAAAAATATGACACGAGGGACGGCATAATACGGAACTAAAATCAATACACGTACCCTTACTAGATGGCGTTGGCAACCTTTCAAACAAATATTTATTTCATTGGTGCATAATAATTATATGCCAATCACCCAAAGAAAGTGCAATAACGGAACACAATTAAAAAATAAGGGTAGTACCCTTATTTACAGGCCTAACAATGAGAGTCTAAACAACTAGGTACAATATTATGTTCAACAATAAAACATTTTTTATTGTAAACCTAATGTCATTGACCCGAATCTCAAATAACAAACCTAATAAGGGTGCGCATTTAACAGGCAATACCACCTAAGGGTGTTGCAATTTGTCGAGTCATTAACTGTGGACACATTCAGATCTGTTTGCTTGACCGTAACTAGTCCACGCCCAGCAATAACCTTCTAATACCAACCACTATGTCTAGAGCTCACTCATCCCTTCGTTCTTTTAATAAAACTAACACATTTGTTCCCACTCCAAGGGTTTTTGTAAACTGGTTTAGTGAAACCCCGTACACCCATTGGCAGGTGACCACGCTCACGTCACCTTCGCGATGGTATCGTAATCGTAAAAGTCGACTAGTGTCCCGCGAGCACCCACACGGAGGTATACCCTCATTTACTCTTAACTCTCCATTTAACTCCGACACGGCATTATTAAGGCCATAACACACAAAATTTTATAAATGTGTTAAACGAAATGAACTTGAGGTCCGAAGTATTGAGAAAAATAAAAAGATATTTAGTAAACCGTCTTTGTAGAAGAAGCAAGAAGATGAATAACATAAGAAGAAGAAGGGAATCAGTTGCTTCTGTATATAGAAAAACAACAAAATTTTTGAGTTCAAATACTGTTAATTTTCTAAAAAAAATGCCCAATAATAAGAAACATTTTGTTTCTCAAACAACTGAACATTCTCAAGACAACGCTGACAAAATTGTAAAAGCAATTGATGACGTAACAGACGAGGATCATAACCTTGGTGAAAGAGAACTTGACTATTATCTAGGAGTGAGAAAGAAAGAGAACTATTGGCGTGATCCGATGGGAAGGGAGAAGATAAGAAAAGACTATCTCGTATACCACTGCGGTGTTACTGAAGATGACTACGATAAAAAATACAAGAAGGAAATTGCTTCTAAAGCATCTTACGTCATTCCGCCTAGATTGAAGCAAGTACCTTTCAAGATACATAGAAAAAAGAGGAATGGTGATTTAAAAGATGATTCTTGGAGAGACAAAAGCGGTATATTCAAATTGTTCGCTCACAGACGTGATAGTGAATATTCTACGTCTGATAGTTACAGTGAGTGCGATTCTAATGAAGATATGAAAGTGACTGAGATATTCAGATCAAATGAAAATGATTTAGAGGATATTATAGATTATTTGAACGAACTTGACACGAATTCCGATGATAGATATCTGGAGGTTTGTGTTATTGTTAAATAAATGGTTTATTAAGTAATTAATTTACGATTTACGTGTTGATGTAGTGGCTAGCTGTTTTCACTCCTAAGCCATAGGTCGTGGGTTTCATTCCCATTCAAGACAAATATCGTGTGATTAACACGATCATTCTTTCTGTCTCTGGGTGTTATTTCTTTATCATCAACATCATCATCAACAGCCTATACTAGTCAACTGCTGGACATAGGCCTCTCCTTAGAAAGGAGGTTTTGGCCTACTATACCACGCTGGCCAGAGATATATTTCTTTATAATATCTATGTATTTAGAAATATACAATTATATTTATCAAGAGTCTGGTTATCACTTTACGTGTGGAAGACTACTCAGGGTGTCAAACCACCGGGGTTTGTGGCGTGGCAGTGTGTGGGAATTGAACCGACTAAAACCACACGTGAGTGAAGGAATGAGTTAGACATGTGAAGTTATCATTATTATTTAGAAATAAAATTACATATTGTATTTTTTTTCTTATTTATAAAAAGTCTACAAAAGTCAAGTTATTAAAATATCCTGTGTCGGGGACTTTACAAACATACATGAAACGGACACAAAGAACACCCAGACTCAGAACAATAATTTGTGGATCACACTACGTGGATAAAAGTAAGAGATGTTGTGAGATAAGTGTTTGTGGAATTACACATATACATACATACAAGAGTATGTACATATACGAGTACGTGTAATTTCTATACGAATAGTTGATATATTGGTATTGGTTGTGGGCTTCGGTTTCCGCATTTAGACTCAGAGTGGTCCTTTATGCGTCGAGGATTATAATAATAATAATATAATATATTCTACCACATACACACAACGCCATCTAGTCCCAAACTAAGCAGAGCTTGTACTATGGGTACTAGACAACTGATATAAATACATATATACTTTTTTTTTTGTAAATACATACATATTATATATGGAAACACCCAGACCAAATCAAATATTAAATGTTCATGCACACAAATCACAAATGTGTGACTTGAGCCGGAATCGAACCCGCGACCTTTGAAATAGCAGTCCGTTACACAAACCACTACGCCATCCAGTCGTCAAATCCCTCGCTATTTCCCGGATTGGTTGACTAGGTGAACCAGCCAAGCCAATAGTTGATATATTTCATAGTTTATATAGATGATTGTTATTGACGTATAATATACTAGCTGACCCGCGCAACTTCGTCTGCGTCTCTCAATAGTAATAAATTTTCTCCGTATTTGAAACATTCTTCATTGGTGCTCCGCTCCTATTGGTCTTAGCGTGATGATATATAGCCTATAGCCTTCCTCGATAAATGGGCTATCTAACACTGAAAGAATTTTTTAAATCGGACCAGTAGTTCCTGAGATTAGCGCGTTCAAACAAACAAACAAACTCTTCAGCTTTATACTCGTAATATTAGTATAGATTATTACTATTGAGAGACGCAGATGAAGTTGCGCGGGTCAGCTAGTATTAGTATAGATTGGATGAACTTGGCCGTGACCTAAGTTATATTGTCAACAGTCGATAGTACTTTGTTTATCTGAATTAAATTGACTGCAATTGCAAGAAAGAAACTATTTTTAACACGTGTGCAGCAATGTTTGTATGATCTGTAAATATTTGTTTCGGAGTTTGGGTGTTTTCTATGCATGTATGTCACATATTTACAAAAAAAAAGTATTTATGTATTCTATCAGTCAATATAGCTTTCATAGTACACGCTCTGCTTAGTTTGATACTAGATGGCGTTGTCAATATTATTATTAAAAATTAATTAACTTTTACAGCTCACTACCGACTAGAACCCACTTCTAATACAAGGGTGTAGCTTAGAGAATCTCCACCTCTCCCCATCTAAGCTAAACCCGTTATACTAGTATCCGGGGGGCTTAGCGAGGAGAGTACCAGTAACCATTAACACACTTACCCCAAAGGGGAGTTATGTTTTGTATGAATGTGTTTTAGTAAGTTACGTAAAATGTAATATTTTCCAAACGGAAAACATCTTTGTTATTGAAAAACATTGAAGTTTTTGAAATAATTTAAAATTCATATAAAACACGTACTAACTAACTAATCAACTAACTCAGAATGAACACACATAAGGAACGAAACGAATATTATACACACAAATGATTCAAGCTTTGATTTCAATAAATTTATTTGTTCTTATTTTATGTTTCATTTATAACCATTTTGAATTTGATAAAAACATATTAACTACCTAACACATTGTTTAATCTGTAAAAAAACACTCAATTATTTATTTTTGCACGAATTTGTACAGTCATACAGTACATTGTATATTGTGCTTAATTTTTTTATATTTTCTTGGAAATAACGCGTTTTAATTGTTACGTATAGTATCCAACATATATATGTTGGATACTATACGTAAAAATTTATTTTCTTTGTGTTCTTTCATAATATTATGCATAATGATCCGTGTGGTGACGGATTAAGAATACAGAGTGTCACCACCCCTATTCATCCCGTGGGTGTCGTAAGAGGCGACTAAGGGAGCGAAATACGCAGGACAACAGCACTGCAGAGAGAAGGAAAACTTGACAAAAACCCTATACCAACCCGTCTGGCCAGCGTGGTATAGTAGGCCAAAACCTCCTTTCTAAGGAGAGGCCTATGTCCAGCAGTGGACTGTTAAAGGCTGTTGATGATAATATTATGAGCTGATGATGACGCTTACCAATTCGTCTATACTGTAACAAATTCTGTTGAAATACCCATGTTTCCTTAAAGACTCTACTTCCACATATTCTAACTGACTCCTCTCTTCTTACAGGGTGTACGAATAAAAGAAGTTTCAGAAGGAAGGCCCTGTGACAACTGCCCTGAGTTATGTCCCGGCTTCATCCCTCATGCTTGGAGGTAAGTACATTTAAGTAACACGGAAACTAGTGACTGGTACTACACCTTGGGACCAACCTTGACGCCGGCATCACTTAGCGCATATAAATAAACAAATAAGTATTTCTTATAAGCATTAAATATGCATCATTTGCATATGAAATTATATGCTGCTACTTATGAAGTATTCAAATTACGCCAGTCCAATCATTTAGCTATAGGTATTCATTAAGTTGCAGTTATTGTGTATGAAGTAACCGATAATTAAAGGAGACTAGACGAAATATCCGGTCGCCCAATTGGAGAAGTAAATCTTAAAGAATATTAAGCTAATTAATTCAATATGATATATTGAATTAATAAGCTTAATATTCTTTAGGACAGGACAGCACTGCAGAGAGGAGGAAAACTTGACACAAACCCTATAGAAAACCCGTCTGGCCAGCGTGGTATAGTAGGCCAAAACCTCCTTGCTAAGGAGAGGCCTATGTTCAGCCGTGGACTATTAAAGACTGTTGAAGTGATGATGTGATGTGAATTTAATATATAACTAGCTGCATTTGCCACAATATGCCACAGCTCATTCATTGATTATACTTTATGAACAAATGTGACAGAAGCGGACTTAATGCCTTGGGCATTTTCTACCAGTCAAAACACAGCAGCAGCTAAAACATGGTAGATGCACAGAAATTAAAAAAATAATTTTAAGGGGAAATGAAGCATACATAGGATATCATCATATACGGTATTATGGTTGCATTGATGAGAGAGTAGGAATAAAAGTGACGCGAAAAACAGATAAAAACCATATTTGAATCAGATTGTATATCGTGCCAAAATTTGACCTCAATAGATGCAGGAATTATTGAGTTTTCGTAGATTATACAAACCAACGTAACATTTTTATGCGAATAATTAGATTTAAATACCCAATGCCACTCTCACAATTAAGATGATTCTAATGCGACAACTCAAACGCCGAAATTCATAAACCTGTTTAGGGTACAGAACGTGCCAAAGAAATATACCTACATTATGTATACACTCGAAAAAAATAACACTCCTTCCAGCGCAGTCGAATTGAAATCGAATCCAAACAACACGTCTTTCAAGTTTCGAAGACAATGCTAATAGCTCATGGCTGTTAGTATCTTCATTCCTTCTGAGAATTCGTTGCTACAGATAGCCAGGACCAAAATTCATAGATCGATGTTTCATACCCGGTTCGAAGGACCAGAATGTTGGAGCTGTTAATCCGTTTTTCATTTATTGTTAAAGTTTAACATTTACTGTTAAAGTTTGTTTATAATTGAAGTTAGGTAGAAAATTTCAATGTTGTTGTTATGAGTGTTTATTGAACACTAAAAAAATCAATATAAAGAAAAGAGCGTACTCTTTTCTAAAAGGCAGGCAACGTGTTTGTAACTCCTGAGTTGCAGGCGTTCATGGGCGTCGGTAGTCACTTTCCATCAAGTAACCCGTCTGCTCGTCTGCCCTCTCTTACATAAAAAAACGCTCGCTGACTTAAATAAGTATAAGTTCGTATATTATTATTGAGAGTCTTTCTGTTTATACTTGTCAGAGTGTTATTTTATAGCCATTTCCTTTTGTTATCACTGACTCAAGTTAAAACGTGAAGGTTATTTTTAATACATTCCTTAAAAAAACACCCATACTTTTGTTTACAGTATATTAAAGCGATGTTCCAATTCTGTATAAACTTTAATGGAAATATTTTAGTTCTTATCACAGGATCTTGACTAATCTGATACCAGACAGATGAGATTTAACGGAACAACTGCTATATCTACATGAGTTTACTAGCTTTTCCTACGGCTTCAGTCGCATCAAAGTTAATTTTGTAAATCAGTTTTTCTTGACGTAAATATCCATGTCTATTATATATATCCATCTCTATTTGCGAATACCTGTGAATAGCTTGCGTTATTTGTGCTGTTGGTATTCCGAACAAAATAAAATAAAAATCTATACAAATAAATAAAATTGGAGTGTCTGCTTGTAATATTAAAATAACCGCTCTTTACTAAATGCAAATGTATGTTTACACGGTACATATGCCAAAATAACATTTTTACAATTTTTGTCTGTCTGTCTGTTTGTTCCGGGTAATCTCTGGAACGCTTGAACCGATTTCGACGAGACTTTCACTGGCAGATAGCTGATGACATAAGGAGTAACTTAGGCTACTTTTTTTAGACCAACTTCGCCCCGCAGCGTTGCCCGCGGTTATAACAACAAACGCGGGTAACACCGCGGGTCTCAGCTAGTAAACAATAAAAATGTCTTATTATTCATTAAACTTCATCCAATTCCGTTCAGCCGTGACGTGTATCACGTGTATTAAAATTTAAATTAATGTTCACTTTTCTACAGTCTCAATCAACAATACAATCATACACAAACAAACATCTCTCTCTCCGTACCGTCGTGGGTAAAAATGATTTGCTCTAACTGACTGTTTCATGAACACAGATCCTAAACTGCTGGGACTATAGTTTTCAAATTTTGGCAGCTGATGATTTTTATGTTTACGGCACTCAGTAAGAAAGGATTTTTAGAAATTTCATCCCTAAAGGGGATAAAATATAATAAACACGAATTAAAAAATGTTAAGAAGCAGCGGGAAGTACCTAGTTAATAATAAAAATCAATTTAATTAAAAAAAAATGATTTTTAAATATTTCGGACAATCGACACACTAGTTTCGAACTAATCAGATCTTGATCTTGATGTTGAGATATGAAAACTAGATTGACTGATAGAATACCTATAAAGCTGCTGCTGCTGATGCTGCTGCTATATACTTTGTTTTGTAAATCCATACATATTAAAATAGCAAAAAAAATATACATAGAAAACACCCAAATTCCAAAACAATATTTGCAGATCATACAAATATTTGACTCGACTTGGGAATCGAACCCGAGACCTCAGCACAGCAGTCGCATAAGCTGGCACTGCACTACCGAGGCAGTCGATTGGCGATGAACAAGGATCAGGATACTGACCACCACGCTCTATGATATATAGTTATATACTAGCTGACCCGCGCAACTTCGTCTGCGTCTCTCAATAGTAATAAATTTTCTCCGTTTTGGAAACATTCGTCATTGGTGCTCCGCTCCTATTGGACTTAGCGTGATGATATATAGCCTATAGCCTTCCTCGATAAATGGGCTATCTAACACTGAAAGAATTTTTCAAATCGGACCAGTAGTTCCTGAGATTAGCGCGTTCAAACAAACAAACAAACTCTTCAGCTTTATAATATATATAGTTATATATATGTACGGCAATCAACCTGATCTAGAATTGCCTGATCTTTCGACTAGATTGCAACCAGGATCTTGAGGTCTTACATAGAGAAGAGAATTTACTCTCGTCTCCTTCTAATACAGATGCTAAGTCCATGTTGATCAAGGGTATCGCACAAAAATTGACATCTGATTGTGTTGCCTTCTTACGTGACCATTATGCTACTTCATTGTATTCCTTGTATACTATACGACAACTGGAGGTTCTCATGAGTCACAAACCCATTGTGTGTTAAACCCTCAACACGCACGTACTTCACTAGAATTTTGACGTAAACCAATCCATGGATTCTGCGAAGTGTGATTTAATAGTGTGCCTTGATTTCACCTTCAATTTTTTATGGTAGAGGTAGGTGGTATACGAGCAGACCGGTCACGTGATACAAGTGAGTTGTAATCCTTTGAGCTCCCAGAACTAAGCGAGGTGAGGATTGGACCTTCAGTATTTTCATACACTCAAAAGAAGGTGAAAAAATTACTTAACAACGTTTTCTTGGGGGGGAGTGGTATCAATCCAGCCCATATACCGAAGCATGGCTCTTCCATTGTAAATATCCGACAAATTCTGATTGCCATCAAGCTCAACGTATCGTTTCACAGAAAATACCAATAAGTGGGCTCGAAAGACCATCAACTTAGGGAAATATGTCATTAGAAGTAATGTGATGGTGTGAGAAATTTCGAAATTAATTTATTAAGCTTGATCAAGTATTTTTTTAAATATCAAAAATACAATAGTAAAATAACGAAAATATTTCATGTTAAAGTAACAATTTAATTATCAAGTATGGTATCATCTGATAACAATTTCTAAAGAAAAGATCAGAAATATTGTAATGTAGGATACCAAGAAAGAAATGGCAAAACATGTTTTTCTTTATGAAAAGTTAAGTATTTGACAAACAAACAACAAATTTCTCGTATAGTACATATTTATTTGATAATAACGACGAAAATGAATGATACGAGTATGTGTACAACTGACGACGTAGCTGCAACCATTTTCCGCCTAGTTTCAAACTTACTGCTTCTGATCTCTCGCAGATTGAGTTTATATCATACTGTGTAGGAGAAAAAACTTATACGTTTGATGTTTTTGGTACTAATTACATAGATTTATACCATGGATATAATCATAGTGTAATGTGTGGAGTAGGGCACCCTGCGGCACCATGAACCGACGACTTGAGGAAAACAGCTAGCAGCGGAGTGATGCGGACTGCCCAAGACTAGGATAGTTAGCGCTCCTTAGTTGAGGCCTTCGTTCAGCAGTGGACGGCAATAAGCTGACGATGATACCATAGATTACACACACACACACATCAGCTTTTAATAGTCCACTGCTGGACATAGGCCTCTCCTTACAAAGGAGGTTTTGGCCTACTATACCACGCTGACCAGACGGGTTGGTATAAGGTTTGTGTCAAGTTTTCCTTCTTTTTGCAGTGCTGGCGTCCTGCCTTGTTTTGCGCTCTTAGTCGGCTTTTACGACACCCACGGGATGAATTGGGGTAGTAACATTCCGTAATCTTAATCCGTCACTACACAGTGAAATACCATAGATTACTAATGTTTAAAAAATTGTAGAGTTATCGTTCATTGCATTCTAGAAGTGCCTGGACACAAGCATTTGACATAGTCACTTCAGTCTATGAGAGAATTTTAAGCAATTAAAAAAAAAAGAATTAAAAAAAGATCAGGGGAAGAAGCGCAGAAGCAAGCTGTTCCTGCTGCAAGCGGCGTTAAGCGTTTTCTGTTAATTAAGAATGATATACTAAACAATTGGATTGGAATAGATGACAAAATGGCTGGTAGCACCAACCAGCAGGAACAGCTTGCTTCTGCGCTTCTTCCCCTGATCTTTTTTTAGTTGATGAACCTACTTCTATTTATATTTTTGTTAGGAAAAATAGCCTAAGTTACTCCTTATATAAACAGTTACCTGGTAGTAAAATATTGTCAACATCGGTATAACCGTTTAGAAGATAATTCGGAAGAAACAGACAGACAGACAAAATAAAATTACCTTTTTTTCGAGCATAGGTATCCTGCAAATAACACACGGCACACGGCGGCTCACACGACATGAAAAAACCTATTATTTTGACATTACAACCAGACACTTGAATTTTATTTATTTGTAAAAATATAAAACCCTTACTCTAATCCTATAAAACTTTGGTCAGAGAATATAGAAAAAACAGGACATCTGGCTAATGAAATCAAACACATTAAATACCCCCTAAATAAATATCCTCTTTGTTTTTACGACTACACTTATCTTATCGTTGTTGCTGTCGCTTTCGTCGAAATCGCGCCTCTCTGTTTCGATAGCAATATCTTTAATAACTTGACCCGGCCGCAGATAACATAATAATATATGAGACATATTAACAGTCAACAGGCCACCACTACAAACGTGATCGTAATCGAATAACGAACGGTTAATCAGCCTTGCACTGAGGCCGGCGCGAGCGCATCGATCAAGTAAAATTGTCCACTCTTGCTCCGACAGCTACTGAGAGCAGACGTGTCGCGCATTATACAATATCACAAACAATGTGCCTTTCTTTGAAACAATTGGAGTGGGCGGATGTATACAGACGCCTAACCGGTGCTGAGAAAGAGTCGGTGAAAGAGAAGAAGATACAAAAATTCCCGTCTAGGGAAAGGAATTATGCTGTTAAGAGGAGGAATAATAACAATATGAGATCTCACGTTAATTGCGAAAGTTGTGCTCGCGTTGCTGAGAAAGAAAACAGATGAAGTGATCAGAAGTGTCTTTTTAATCGGAATATTTCCTTAGTGTTGTGACAGTGTTCCACAATTATAATTACGATTCAGTGTAAAGTGCAAAATATTGCCACTTGATAAATGATCACACAGGAATTGTGCTCATGCCACTGTACCAATTATATTTTTGCTCAACGTAATACTCAAAATGAACTGTGTTAAAAAGTGTTGCGAAGTTTGCATTGTTTAGTAATATAATGGCAGGATGTCGGTTTTGACTGTGGTTTTCAACATCAGATAATATTTGTGTATTGTTCGTCAAGGTCCTTTTGTTTTAAAAGTATGTATCTTGAAACAAAGTAAGCGTGGATGATCAAAGTTTGTTCGAATGTTGTAGTTAATTTATTATTTAGGAAGATCGATTAATAATTGTTAGCCTTGGGATTGTTGTTTTTAGGAACAGAGTAGTTGTCTCTGGTTCAAAGAAAAATGTAACAGTCTTAGTAACAGTATAAAATACCTAGTACTTTCAAAAAGAAAATTTGTTTTAATTTTTAAATCTGTAATTTATATTTTGTAGTAAAATCAACCCTTTATAGTAAATATTTTGACAATAGCACGGTATGACGTCACAGATTGGTATTTATTACAAGTTTCTACATAACGTAGTGTTGACTGATGTTTACATTAAAACATATCATGAAATATAAGGGTTATCTGACTGATTATGACAAAAGACAGAGAATTTGTTCCTAGTTACATTAGTTTACACGAATACCTAATTTAATGTTTTTGTTTTCTGTCAAAATATTTTCTATCTTTCTATACACACATTTTTTGACTTATTGATTCAAGAATATTAAATTAGTGTTGATACTGAAACTAACAAATTGTAGCTTGAATAGAAAATATTTAAAAAAAATTGTCAAGTCTAGAATAGAAGAAGAATTGTTTAATATGTTTCCCACAATATTGTTATTATTAACAGCCAAGATCCACTCTCTTTTTACTTTCATTTAACTTGCGTATTATGTCACAAAGGTCAAACTTAAAAGTCTAAAGTTACATCAACAATAAGAAAATAATTTTTAGCGACATCGTAATAAATTGCAAATTCGTATGAAATTCTTTTGTGAAATGAACGTTAGAACTCTTAGCTTTTTAACTATGCATTATTATTCAAATATAATAATAAGTTTATTCGACTAAGTTGTAACGAGTTGCGATATTAATAGCGCCACAGCTAACGTAATATTTTGTTGCCAATAATGGACAATGTTGTCATTGATTAAGAACGTTTTACTGATAAGAAAGAATCTTATTATTAAACCAAAATACATTTCAATACATTAAATTAAACGACTTTAAAAAAGTAATTATTAATCGTATAAGCTACGCTATTTCATCGCCAGTTGTAAACAGATTTGAATGATTGTTTTTTAATGTGCACATATATCTATTTTCAAGATATTCATATGAAAGTTAAAAAATATCCTTTTAAGAAGACCAGAAGGAGATACATAGAAGGAGTTTGTATTACTTTTCTGTCTAATCTACTTTGATCAAATATTTCATATGATCGAAATATTGTAAAGATGATCGAAAGACGGTTCCATAATTTATAACAATATAAACTATACCACTCTATTCATATGTAACTAAAAAATTACCAATATTTACAAGATTTTATTGAAAATAGCTTAGTATTACCCTATACAGATCATGGTAACGACTAGTGTGGTCCACTTAAAAAATACGACTTCTTGAGATACTAGGGAAAAAAAGCCCTATTCTACTTAATCCACTCATTGCTATGATTGGATAAGGCAGGATACAAAAAGACATTGTAAATTAATTAAATGACTGAAACAGACCATCCCTAATGTATACACTTATTATTATTTTTACACTTTAATAAAGTGATATTGTACATTATTCCAAGCAATTTAAATTAGAATAAAAACGGTTCCTGACTGGTATTCATGTGTATTAAAGATATACGACTTTACTTGTGTATGTATTTCAGTGTTGCATGACTATTTTCGGAACCGATAGGAGCACATTTTCAAAGAGTAAAGCTTCCTGCCGTGAAGTCAAGCATTCCTGGAATACACACATGATTAAAACTGTATATAAAGTATGGTTGGTAATAAATTATGTTGCCAGTTGAAAAAAACGTGACACTTTGATATTATTTAATCTATGTAATTAAGAGAATGCTAGCTTGTGTTATAATTAATATAGAAGCTCAATATTAATAATGCGTGATAATTGGTTATAAAACAATTAAGTATATTATTAAACTTATATTATATCGTACTATTTTTTTTTATTTATAAAAATCTGTAAAAAAAAATTTTTAAGTAACATCATAATGTCTTATAGTATCTATGCGTATCATGGCAAGAGTCTACACAACAAGGCTTCAAGTGATAATCTGATTCTATGACTGACCAGTCAATGAAATAAACCAAACATACAAACTTTACGTTTCACAACACACAAAAGAACAGAAATTAGCTTAAAAACATAAATTAGTACATATTTGAGATGTGATGAAAATTTCAGTAAAGTTATCAAATTCGATTCATAATAAGTAACATTATTTGGATTGTCGCTAATTTGCAGTTAAACTTTTTGGTAGATTTATTTTGCCTGCCTAATTTCACATCACTTTTGAAAATTACGAGTATTGTTCGTGTGGTGACAGATTAAGAATATGGAGTGTCACCACCCCTTTTCATCCCGTGGGTGTCGTATGAGCCGACTAAGGGAGCAAACTACGCAAGACAACAGCACTGCAAAGAGAAGGAAATCTTAAAAAAAAACCCTATACCGACCCGTCTAGCTAGCGTGGTATCGTAGGCCAAAACCTTATTTTATGAAGAGGCCTTATTATGAGCAGTGGACTATTAAAGGCTTTTGATGATGATGGGAAAATTATTACCATTCCTGTCTCCCTGTCTGCGTGTATGCTGCCTTAATGTGTATGTATGTGTGCGCGTGTGTAAGAAAATAAAATAATGTTTATTTTCTTTTGTGGGAGATCCATGGATAAGGACATGAAACCCATTCGATGGGGTTGATACCACGGTTCCATAGAAAACCGGTGTTAATCAATTCAACGAGTGAGTGAGTTAACCGGAGGTCGCCTCTGTTTCTGGGAGAGTCACTCAGAGGCACAATGCCCTTGTAACTCTAGATAGATAGACAGATAATACTTTATTTGTACACTAGGGTTTTACAAACATTATAAAGTAATTAAACGAACACCAGATGTGATATACAAAGGGCGTACAAAGGTACTATAACTTGGTATTCGATGACCCGTTTACTATTTTCTAGATGCACCATGAAAATAAATATTTTTTATTACATTATAGTAACAAATACTCTAGCTCTTAAATATAATATTGCCTTCGATACTCTATTGCATGTATAAACAACGACTCATATATACTCGTAGTTATTGTTTGTTTCAATTGCTCATTTTATAAATAGAGGTCGTTAGTTTCCATATAATGTGTATGTTATCAAGCCAACGTCGGTATAACGATCCCGGATGCCTCAAAGTTCAAGGAATTAAAAGACTTACGTGGTTTGTAATAGATATTAAAACTGATTGAACGCTGTTTTTAAGTACGTTATCGTTTTGCAAGAAATAATTAATAAATATTTACATTTATGTTTTTAGGGTTCCGTTTTTCCTTTTGAGGTAAGAAACCTCAAAAGGAAAAACGGAACCCTTATATAACGGATTATTAACTTAAACGGATCATTTTTATGTCCGTCAGTCTATCGGTCTGCCTGTCAAGATCCTTTATCTCGGGAAGGCGTGGAGGAATCGAGTTGAAATTTAAACCATAACGCTACAATCTCTTGAAGCTGTCAAATTCAAACTTTTTAGTTAACGCAAAAAAAGATACTACCATTTAAGCTGCAAAAATCGCACATTTCGACACTCAAATGAATCAAAATTAATAGGGTACTTCCCATTGACCTAGAACTATGAAATTTAGTAAGTAACATTGTGTTATACTACAAGTATAGGGAAAAAACTAAAAACTGTATATTTGTAATTAAATCAATCATTGAGGTACAATTTCACTTATAACAGACAATAATATAAGTAACTAGCTGACCCGCGCAACTTCGTCTGCGTCTCTCAATAGTAATATATTTTCTCCGTTTTTTTAAACATTCTTCATTGGTGCTCCGCTCCTATTGGTCTTAGCGTGATGATATATAGCCTATAGCCTTCCTCGATAAATGGGCTATCTAACACTGAAAGAATTTTTCAAATCGGACCAGTAGTTCTTGAGATTAGCGCGTTCAAACAAACAAACTCTTCAGCTTTATAATATTAGTATAGATTACTACAGAATGAATTTATAATATGTACCTATGTACGGAACCCTCGGTGGTCGAATCTGACTCGCAATTGTCTAAATTTTTTTTCTTTATAAATACGAAAAAACTAAAAAACTGTAAATGATTTATTATAAGCTACATGTATACCTATTTGTGCATTTTGCAGAGTGATCTAAGCAGACAGTAACAGAAAATGATATCTCTTTCTGTTACTTCGATGTCCCCTACAGGACAAACAACTTAATAAAATTATAATCGGTAAACATTTGACTTTTTTTTTAAGTTGAATATTTCTCTATGCTACACCTACTTACTAATAGACACAGTTAACCCTCAGATTAAAAAAAATAAAAGGTTTTGTTTTTGTCTTTTGATTACTAAAACATTACTATTAGTACTTTTAATAAAATTTTAGTTAATCACACAATAAGTAATAATAGCGATCCGTACTGGCTTCGCACAGGTGCAAAGTAGATACTACTGTACCTAATGTGGAAATTCTCGAATTTTCTCCACTATAATATTATGATTTCGAGAGTTTTAAATTACTCTAAACTACTGTTAATACGCTTAGATCACCAATAGAGAGAGTGATTCAAGAGGGGAATTTCCACATGCATATGTTATACATATAAAACCGCCTTAAATTTGCGTTTGCGTTG